AGATGGTGTTGCAGCGACGAAAAAGATGGTAATCTGATGGTGCCATGTCTTGAGAATATGGTGGGTGGGGAAGAACTTCCCAACCCAACTCCATAATCTTGTGTTGCGTCAAACGTGGACATGCATTGTCATAGAGAAGAGCACTTTTCCGATTGATGAGTGAAGGGTGATTCTGATGAAGGGCTTCATTTAAACATTACAGTTGTTGACTATAGATCTCCGCATTGACAGTTCATTGTGGATTGAGGAGTTTGAAATGAATTAATCCTTTGATGTCCCACCAAATGCAAAGCATCAGTTTCTGTGGATGGAGTCCAGGTTTGGGGTTGGAAGTGGTTTTTGTCTAGGACTGAGCCACTGTTTTTGCATTTAATATTCGCATAGAGAATCCACTTTTCATCACCAGTGACAATTCTGTCCAAAAATGGTTCACGCACATTATGTGCCTGAAGAGACGAAGCAACCTCACACGTTGGAAACGATGATCATTGGAGAGTTCATGAGGCACCCAAACACCTTCATTATGGAGTTTTCTTATATTCCGTAGATGTTTACGCATTGTTTTCATGAGAGACATACAATTGCAGGGCCATTTCCTGAGTGTGTTGCCTTGGGTTAGACTCAACAAGCATCTTCAGAGTATCAATATCAATTCCAACATGCTGGCCCCTGCCATCACAGTTTTTAAGGCTAAAATCACCTGAACTATTGTTGACACTTATGAACATTCAAAACATTTCCATAAACTTCTTTGATATTCTTTTTGGCTACAGAGACATTGTTTACCTTCTTGTATTCAAACAGCATTACATGCTGAATGTGTGTCTCATTGTGTGCCATCACTATAATCGATTAGATTATACTAAACTTTACACATTATATAGGCTACACTAAAGTGATGTTTAGGTGGTTCATTTAACTATTATACATGATGTACATTTTTGGGGGGTGGTTAATGAAAGTGCTCCAAAATGTGTTTGTTTGTTTGTTTTTTGAATTTCGAGCAAAGCTACACAAGGGCTATGTGTGCTAGCCATCCCTAATTTAGCAGTGTAAGACTAGAGGGAAGGCAGCTAGTCATCATCACCCAACGGCAACTCTTGGGCTACTCTTTTACCAATGAATAGTGGGATTGAACATCATATTATAATGCCCCCACGGCTGAAAGGGCGAGCATGTTCGGTGTGACGGGGATTTGAACCCGCAACCCTCAGATTGCGAGTCGAACACCTTAACCATCTGGCCATGCCGGGCCTCCCAAAATGTGACATTAATTTTTTGACAACCTAATATAAAGATACAATACCTTTTCAGTTCAAGTTTACTTAAAATGTAATAAAATCCAAGAACAGATTATATATAGTCAAATGTTATTGCAAATATAGTCAGGCATACTGTTGTATACATAACATTAAAAAAACATTTAGCCTACTGTTTCTGACCAAAAATACAAAATTAGTAAATTCTCATGTTCATCATGAAGAGAAATAAATATTTTTACCTCACTGTGTAGCTGAGGATGAAGAGCTGAACCAATAACTTCAAGAACTTGAAAACTATTCACTAAATCTTGAGCTTGAGCATCATTTTTTAGAAGAGAAATAGGGTCTGGGTAGAAATTAAAATAATCTAGGTTATTCTCTTCGTTCAGTTTTGATATTATTAGTATAGTAAAAAAAAAACAAAGAAAGAGCTTTCATTTTGTATTAAGGTTGCAATTATATGACTATTCAAAGCTGAGATATAACCATGATAACCAAGGTTGAGAAACAGTTATTGATAAAACTACTCTTGTATTCAAGGTACAGCATCCATATCGAATCTGTTTCGTTCAAAAACCACTTTGAATTTCTTCCTAGAGGACTATGAGCACTGCATTATTATCAGAAAAAAAATTCAGAAATTCACAAACATTAATGTTTCTTGTTTTCTTAAATCAAAGCTGAAATCACCCAAAAATCAAAATATGATATTTAAAAATTTATTAAATTAAATAATATTTTATATTGAATAAATTTCACCATCGAAGTTGTATTTTTTAACAAGTGGAAGTACAAGTATAATCAAATCACTTGGCTTGTACTACAAAATTAAGAAACAAGAATCTATTTTAATGTGTGTATACATACTCAACAAGTAAAATGTTATTCTGTGTATGATGAGAATGAAAAATTATTTTAGTCATTACACCAGGTGTAAAAAATATATTGAATGGATGATTATTACATTAAAAAAAATTATTGAAAGTGCTTATTCTTACTGTTTGTGATTTTTATCATGTGTAATAATTGTGCAGCTTTACACAATTTATAGTTATGAACAGAATAACACTTTCTCATATTTACCCAGTCATGAAACTGTTCTTCAGTTTACAGTTAAGTGCCTATCTAAAAGCATTGTTTTCTCTACAACCAGGAAATATATTAGCTTATGCATTTCATAATTTCCACACACACAAATGTACCTTCAGCTACTATTTTAATTACTTACTGTTGTTGAAGGTCTAGCTCTGCTCAGCTACTTTCATTGCAGTGGTGTTTTATCACTTATCTCGCATTAGAGAAACTAGCAGAAATACCCACCCTCTGGGCAGGTATAACTGCTAGTTCTTGCACTATTGGGCCTGCAGCTTTTTCTGGAATTGCCTGACAGTTGTACAACAATGTACTCATACTTGACATTCAATAATGTTTACCATCCATGAGAAAAAGGATTTTATTGAAATTTTAGTTTAAAAATGAGCTATCATCACAGCATTACGCCACAGAGTAGATTTTACTGAAGTATTTCTTTGTAGACACAGTTATCAATGAAAGTGCCTTGCTTTTCTGTTGCAACACTCATGAGGTCTTCACTAAAGAAAAATAAATGATTATTTTTTAAATTTGTTTTTGACTGTTTTATATTTGAAACTTACTCCTTTTTTTGTAACTTTTATTGTTTAAATCTGAAACATATAATTTTGGGGAAATTTCAATTGTTTTATTTATTGCTCAGCTATAAAAATACTGCCTAGTTATAAAAATATTACCCAGTTATGATTGGTGATGATCGGTGCAGTAGTTTCCGAGATCCAAGTTTTGTACGTATACATTGCAAGCTAGATTATTATGTATAAATTTACTCACATCTATTCTACAATTGGAAATAAAATAAAGATATCAAAATACATACCAAAGTTGGAAGCATCTATAGAATTTTTCAAGGTATGGAAAGTAATCTCCCAAAGTTTTGGCAATTTTTGAGGAAGTTCAACACCAAAATACCTTGCAGCTTCTGTAATGGCAAAAGTTGCTCCCCTTTTCTGTATTTGATTTTGGTGTGTCTAAAAAAAAAGGGGCCAAAATTACTCAAAAATGAAACAAAATAGAAAAATAAGTAATGCACAAATTAGGTTCAAAGCATACTGCCATTTTAGTTTACTATGTTTAGTAAACATAGTGCACAATAAAGTTATTTTAAGGTCATGTTATAATACATTTAAGCAAGAAAGTACAGACTTATCTATTTGTTTTAGTTATGGCAAACATTGCCTTGCTTTTCTGTTTATCTATGTATATCAACAGCAAATTTAACTATTCTAGAACAAAATCAAAGAGTTGAATACCTTCCTTTTAATTATAATTTTGTACTTTTCCTATATGTATGTTGAGAACAACTGGGTAACTTTCTATCACCAAACAGTGACATTACACAAAAACCGGTAATTAATGTAAATCACCAACCTAGTAATTCATTTAAATGAAAAAAACGATATTAACTTTACGAAACAAATATTTGATGTAGACAACATCTTTCTGGAAAAAAAAATTGTGCAGAAAGTATTAAATGAAATTATGACAAGCATTACTGGTTTAAAAAAAAAACTCCTCATAGTATAGTTGGGGAAAATTAGAAATCCCAAAATTCCCCCATTTTGTAAGAAATTCTAAAACATAGGTAACATTGCATAAGACAGCTTATGATACACAATTAGCTAGTATGTAATAGGTACATGGTTTCTATGATGTGGTTAACTTGGATGTTGAAATTGAGATTAAGTATCCATTCTTGAACTCCAAAAAATAAAAAGACCCCACAATCTGACAAAAGAGATTAGACTTGCAAAACTATACTATACCTGTACTATGGCATTATGTTATGAAGACAAAAGATTCACTTTGTAGCAATGGATATTCAAATACATAGAATTAAAAAAAATAATGTATTAGTTCAAAGAGGAAAAACAAAACTGAAACTACAGGGTGATAGATAAAAAAAGAATTAGCAACTTCCATTCACCTACCAAGTATGTCAGGTGTATACAAAAGATAGGGTTTAAAAGAAACTTGTACTATAATTTTATGTCATACATAATGAAACACAGCAAGCCATAATAAACATATTCTTTCCAGAATTAATTATCACTTTCTTGATCTATAAAATATCCTGGAAAAATTCAGAATGTAAACCCATGTCAAAATATGATAGTTAAGTTTAATATTATTGAGTCTTGTGTCATTATTAAAAAGTAATTTATTTTAAAAAGTTAAAAAAAATCTAGGCAGTGAATAGAAGTAATGAAAGAATTCATACATCTTACAAATTTCATATAACTGAAAATAATCTCAAAGTATGTCACAAAATAAGAAACAAATTCATTTGAGTCGATTAGAGAAAATTCAGAATTTCTGAATTTATAATCTTGTGAAGAAGAGTAATAAGAAGTTAACCAGATAATGCTAAGAAAAAAATATATATACAAAACGTGCACCCACCAAATAATGCTACCAAATAATTTATGTTTATCTCTACTAACACAGAAAACAAAGAATAAAAAGGATGGCTACTGCTATATGCTAGCCTTTTAAGTGATAACTGCTACTCTTAACTTTAGTGTTGAAATAACATCAGGGAAAAGAATGCCTTATTTTTCAATCACCTTAAGTTAAAAGAATAAAAGAAAAACTGACCACAACTCTTAACTTCTCCCAAACTAACATTTTTCTCAAATAGCTGTCATGTTGGCAGTCTAAGTAAACAGAATAATAGCAAGTAAACAGCAGACAATGTCCTTTAACTATCATAATCATTCTAGCTTCCTAACTATGTGATAAGAACCATTAAAAATTCAGCTAAGCTCCTCTGTGTGTTTTCCATAGAAATAGTCTGAACTGGAAGAGAAATAGACAATTTTCTGTACAGAAAACAATGTAATATAATACATCATTTGATAGATTAAAACTTTGTCTTTATATTGGTTATAGATAATATAGTATTAAACATTAGAGAACTACTAGTAATTTGTGAAAAAGATGTGACATGTGGACGTGGCAAGAGGGATCTGATTTTCTAGTTTATGGTTCTGTATCCAAATAAGATTGAAGTCTATAAATATCATGCTTTGCCTGGATAATAACTGTATTATAATGACTAGTTAACATTCAATTCCGTACTTATTGGAGGGGTGGTAAATAAATTAGAGAATAGGTAAGGCCTAGAACGCATATGTCACAATTTGCATACTAGGGGAGATTGAGTTGTTTTTCCAAACATGTTCTTAAAAAATTTGATTAATAAGTTACGTTTTGATGTCAAGTTTATTCATATACATTAATAATAATGTAGTTTATTCAAATTTTGGACATAGCTGTAAAAAGGTTGTACCATGTACACTTTGACCTATCCAATACGAAAGGCTTAAATGTGAATGTAGAGGCTGAAGTATTATATTAAAATATAAAGTTTTATTAACCTTAATAAAACCTTATATTCCTTTTTACATCAAACTAAGAGAATTAATTAATCATAACTTATTTATTAGGCAAATGCATACTTAACCAAACTAAAAACCTAGCATTTTGGATATTTTACTAGTAGTCGAAATAGTAAGTCAAAAAACACAACAATTAGAGAAATTTCTATTTATTTCATAAAACTTTAGGTAATCATAACTATTTTAGAAAATTTGAACACCTCGAGGGAATGAATAAAAAGAAAACTAAAAAAAATTGCTTTTCTTTGTTTGTTTATGGAAAAGCTATTAGGAGTATTTGCTATCATTCAAAGTTTTGAACTGCTTACCAACCAATAGTGTGATTGACTGTCACATTATAATGCCCCATACAGATGAAGGGTGAGCATATTCAGTGGTGGGTTTTGATCCTATGAGTTTTTTGAAAGAGGATGCTTGTAAGTTTTTCCATCTTGCATTAAGAAAAAATCTTGTGATTTCAACCAACAGTTCTTGTTACATCAGTTCTTTTTGTCTGCCATACTTAGTCACATCACAATACAATTTAAATATTGCTGAGAAAAGCAGAAATGTGTTATCTATAATCACACAAGTATAACATTAAACAAGAGTACCAAGTTATTGAAATGATATATCATACTCACCTATTCTGATGTATTTACTTTTTCCAATTATTAACTTTAGTCTTTGAAATTAATTTCAATGATTTAACAATATAAGGAATAGATCAAAGATCTTTGCCCTCCCAATTGTTTTTCTTACTCTATATAGGTATACTTAAAACGTGCACAAAGAGTGAATTAAGGCTATGTCTTACCTCATCATCAGTTTGAAAAGTGTCATCAGAAACAGTATCTATACTAGTTGAAGTAGTACAGATGGCACGTTTGTTATTTATAGAATTTGATCTCCGGAGAGTCACTTTCTCAGCTAACTGTTAAAAAATGAAGATAGAATTTATATTTAAATTTAAACTCTTATTGTTTGATGGAACATTCTATTTTTAAACATAATACAGCATATAATCCTTCAAAATTATTAATTCTTTCAAGCCCATTTTTTTATTAATGCATTACACACTTTACCATCTGCTACCCTGACTAATTCTGGTATCTTCTAAAATTCTCAAGTTTAAACTTTGTAGTGAGTTGTGAGCTTCTACAGAACTATTCATACACTTTTTATAGGGAAGAAGATACCATGAAAATGAGATAAATTGAAATTAATTCTTACTCAAATTTACCATAGTGTCTGTTGATAAACTGCCAAAATGTTCACAATTACCTAAAATTATAAGGTTTTTAATCTTTAGGTTGATTTCTCACAGACAAATGTTTAATTACAACAGAAAATACACAACTGATCTTAACGATGAGGTCCTACTGACCATAATAAACAACACTAAAAAATTATTGTTTTCAAAATCTTATAAGATGTTAAATGCTTATACTGTTTTTTGTAGAGACTTTTTTCATATTTTTGATCTTGGAATTAGCAAATAGTAGATTCAAGAAATACATTATTTACATAAACTTTAATTAGTGGACCTTAACTCTTCTTAGACAGTATAATTGAATGTATCTCTCTTCTTTTTTTGTTTATGCTAATCAGTTTAAAATTCTAAAAATTATTATTACTTACAATAACTTTCCTGGGTCAGTTAGAAATTAAAGCATTCATCAGCAATAACGATTTCTTTTGCTACCATAACAAAATTTCGAAATCATTTGAAAAAAATTATCAGAATCACATTTTAAAATAAGTTAAAATATTTATAATAACCATGTTTATTTTACAAAAACATAACTGACACAATTTCATACCAAAATAAATATTAACAAAAGTTTTTCTTAACATCCAAGCAATACAATCCAGTTAACATCGAAGATTGACACCTACTTTTTGCATTTTATGGAGCAGCAATATTCCAGTATATTGATCCGCAACATCTACCGGAGTAGAGACACGACTTCCATTGCCTTCTTCAGTACCTTTACTTTCCTGCACCAAAGCTTGGTGTGTTGTGACATTGGGAGTGGTTGTAGAATCAGTGCAAAGAAAAGTAGTTATGTTCTTGATTACCTTTGGATTTGGACAAGGAATCCTCTCCATACATAGATTCAGTAGCTTAATGAGACTCTTTGCTGCTAAGTACTAAATAATAAAATTGACTAGTATTGATGATGAAACAACATATATTTAAACAGATATAATGTTTGATTACCCAGTTTGTTTATTTTTTTGACAGTGCCTTATTTAAAAATATAAATAACTAAAAGTTTAAATAACCATTTTCAAAGATCACAAACAAAAAGGACCGAGATCTTCGATGCTAGATTTAACAATATAACAGTTATTTTAACCACTACAACCCTGTATTATCAGTCACAAAGTTATACATGGTCTAATACTAGTTGCTTGTCATCACATGTAAATTCTGAAAATTTGCCTTTGACATTGCCTAATGTTTTACTTAATATTTTGTAATCAGCTTTTCTATAAAACTCATTTAAGTCCTATGATGTCGTATCTAACATGCAATTTCAAACATGAGCATAATTATTTTAAGTCTGTGTACATAGAAAAAAATTATGTTAACCTGATTTCATAATTTCTGTAGTTTCTGTAGAAACTCTAAAATAAAATATAACACATTTGGACCAATTTTGATTTTAAACTACTACCAGTTCCAAACAATTAAGAAACTGTGATACAACTACATAAATGTAACTTTAAATGTTTTAGTCTAAATGGATATTAAGAAGTTTCAACAATACTATTTAAATTTTATTCTTAAACTGGGTGAATAATTCTTATTTCATAAAATTAAGTATATGATATTTTTCAGTGACCTAAAAACGTATTTTTGTTTTACAAATCAAATATAATATCAGTGGTGGATGTTTGAAACAGCAAAGGTTATAAAGAATAACTTTATTTCGGCAACACCACATACTTATTAACCCCAGCTGCAATATTAATAAAGATCCTGTTTACTCATTATTTATACATTAATTTGTGCTTTCAAAAATAACTTCCATTACCTGCTGCTGTTCATTTTCTTCTTTCTTTATTGATTCCATTAAAGGCCTAATGATTGGGTTGAGTTTATCAGGAAGATAATGTAATGCAACTAGTGCAGCTGCCAAAGACGACTGCACTCTGAAATTAATGAGAAAAATAACATGAAAATTCAAAATTTCAGTATGTATACAAATTAAGTAATGTTTCACTTCATGAATATTTAAAGTAAAACTATTACTACTTTAAGATTATCAAACAAGGTAATTAAGTATTAATTTAACATAGCAATACATTCTTGGAATGAAGAGAAGATACTATAAAAAATTAGTATGTACTAATATTAATGTTAAAAGTCTATTTAAGTACATATGTTAAATATATGTAAAAGTACTCATAATTATTCAAAATAATTTTGTACTTTAATCAAAATTTTTCTTCAGTTATTAGGGCTCAGAGCTTTCAGAAATGTACCTTTAGAAATTACAAGAACAAACTTAATTGGAAATATAATATTCTACCATATTTTGCAGGAGGAGCTAAAAATTACAATGACCTATATGTAGTATTGTAGGAAGATTATTCCTTGAAATCTGAATGTTACTAACAAACAAGTTTGTTTAAATCAAGGTGCACTAGCACTTCCAAGCCAAAGTATCATAAGAAAGCTTCAACACTACAAAAATATGAAAATGATTGAGTAAAAGGTACTTAGCACATTACATATGAAGAATGTATATATAAAAACCCTAAATGGATTTACAATAAATATCATGGACAAAACTAATTGTTGCAATTATTTTTGGTCACATTTTAATAACACGCCCTTTTAAATGTTCATGATCATAATTACATGCAACCTTAATGGAAATACCTTTTTCTTATACTGGTTTTATACTACAAAACAAAGTTCTAGATAATATACAATTTCACATCATTCAAAACTGTACTTTTTCAAAAGTACCACATTAAAATTTTTATTTTAAACAATTAATTCTACTTAATGAACTTACATGGAATATATATGGATTGGTTAGTCCAGCATTTCCCAATGTTTTGTCAGCCATAAGGCATAATTTATATTTATTTCCTAAAATTTTTTATGGTGGTTACAAGATTGGTCAAATTGACCAAACCTGTACAGAGATTTGTTAATGAAAATAACAGATAAAATATAATGTTTTTTCTTGAGAAATTCTTACTAATTTCAAAGTTATAGCATGAGCACTATAACAAATACAAAATGGTTAAGGGGTCAGTCTCTTAATATATTAAAAAAAAAATATTAGTGAAAGAGTGAGTTAAGTGACAAGATATACCACATGGATAAATATTAAAATGCTGTGTTGTTGTAATTACTTATTATTTTCATTAATAAAAAATACATTAAAAATGCTTAATTTTGCATTATTGCACCACATGGATACATATTAAATGATGTGTGTTGTAGTAATTACTTATTAGTTTCATTAATAAAAAAGTATATTTAGATGCTTAATTTTGCATTATTGCACTACTGACTACCCTAATCGTTCTTCTTCACCCAAGAGATCATTTGCTCCTGGAGGAGCACACCTCACACTTTGGGAAATGCTGGGTTAATCTATTAAAGTATTTAGGAGATAAAGATTTAAAAGATTCTTGCTTACACATTGTTCAGTGCCAATTGATCATGACTTGTCTGTGTCACACTCCTAAGTACAGATCGCCGTCTCTCATCTAGTGTCTAAAAATACAATGTCTGATCAAGAACACAATAATCATTGGTCTATTTCTATTATTCTTCTGCTGTTTTTTTGTTGTTTAAATTTTAAACTTTTGTAATATATTTCAAAATATGAGCATGAAGTTCATTTGTCTATATATTATTTTAATCAGTAGTGTAGCAAGATCACTTTTCATAATGTGTCATTTTTAAACATTACCTTACAACATTTGTTACGCATGTGATCTTTGAAGTTTGATTTGTTTTTACCTCAACACATGTACAACTCATATAAAATTAGAATAATAGATCACACTGTAATTTTCCTTTTCATACTTTTCTGAAATTGTACAAAACTATATATATAACTATACACAAATCTGTATAATTAAAGTGGTTTTTTTTAGATGCCATAAGCTATATGTAGTTAAAAGATAAATACTTTTCTGTTATGTGTGACACAGTCCCTATAATATCAGTAAATTGGTCCATAACCTTAACGTTGATAAAATGAAAAAAAAATATGAAGAATAATTTTAATCATTTGGAACTTAAGACTATTAGAAATGGTTTCTAATGACAACTATACATCAAATATTACTCAAAGTAGAAAAACACAAAGAGCCATGCAAAATAAAATTAGTTTACACAGTGTTTTCTACTTCCTAAAAAATTAATGAATAAAATAAGTGAAAATATTGCTTTATCACATTAACAAAACTAAATCTGACATACCTCTAGCACTTTAGGCTTTAGTTTGGTTGTTTGGACAAGTGTAGAAAATACTGTTGTGGAAAGAGCTGTGGCTTGGTCCAATGTTAATACTACTCTGAAATATGGAACATCTCTAATGAGAGTATGTTACTACTGATGTAATAAAAATCTACCATTTCTCAATTTGAATAAAATGACTAAACATGCCCTCAAGAAACCAAATCCAAGTGCCACAAAATGAAATCCGGAAATTGTCAACAGCTAGCATCAAGCATAAAAGCACTCTTAGTAATTTTATCAAGTACAAATTAATAATTTACAGACCTTGGCAGACAGTGTTTCTTACTAGGGGCTTACAAGTTTCACCTATTTTTTAACTCAGAGGTGCCACTCATAAAATCCCTGATTTTCTTATCACAATGGAACTACTTAACCAAGTTCCATGAAACTTAGTACAAACTTTATAAATAACATCTAATTCCTGCTTTAAAAAATGTTCATATATTTAATAATTTAATTTAGTATTTCCTTTGTTTTCTAGCTTGTGACACTTCCAAAAGTTTATTGTAAATATAATGTTTAAAGAAAACATTAAAAACACTTCCTTTTTGCACAATTTTAATTAAAGGCTACAGTACTAAAACCATTAACAGAAAAAAGAAAATCACATGAAAAAAAATATGAATCATTATATTTTTCACAGATGATAGTTTCTTAGTAAATATAAACCTATACTTTGGGCTGAGTACAAAAATTATTTAAAAAAACAATTAATGCATTGTTTACAGACATCTTGAGGCTGCACAGAAATAAAAGTTGGAAAATTATTTACATTCTTGTGAATAATACTAAATAAACGTTACATAATGATATCAAACATCAACATTAAAATATTTTTGAGTGAAGTAAAAAACTATTCATGGAGTTAGAATTATAATGAAAAAGTCTTTGATATTTCATCTTACATATGTGTACTCAACACCTGAAAGGCCATGATAGGGTTAAATACATTTAACTAGAGCACAAGCATTGTAAGAGAGTTTTAAGTTCAACTGTTAATGATACATGGATATAAAGAGAAATCCATGTAGGCTCAGGGGTCTTAAATAAACTAATTATTTTATTTCTGTAGCTCTAAATGTATATTAAGAACAACTCAGTACTTTTTTTTTCACATTAAGTACCTGTACAAACTACAGTTTTATATTCGTCTATTTAACAGACATCCATAAATGAGCACTTTTTTAACTTACCCTGTTTGAAATGTGGTATCTAGTGGAAGTTTATAATGTCGCAGCATGGCCATGAAATCTTTGCATTCCTGTTGGACTCTTGTAAAGGCCAAGGCAATCTCATCAAAGTATATATTTTCACACAAGCAACAAAAACACTTCTCCTTCACACTAAGTGGACAGGAATTATCCTAAAAAATTCAGAGGCAATAATTTCCTAATGAATGTTCTAAACTTAATCTGAATTATTTATATATTATTGTCAAAACTGTTCTGTAAAATATCATATAGTAATAACAATCCAGGTAATAAAATTTAATTTTATTTATTACAAAAAAAAAGTAAAAAAACCATATAGAAACAAGTAAAAGTGACTAACCTATTATTAAACCTCAACTACAAGCAAAACTCTATGCAATGATCAATATACTAAGTTTACAATGGTTTAAATAATACATTATCAAAGCATTTTTATTATTTTTTCTTTACAGTAATGAGCTTGCAGTGGCTTCCATTTAAATCAATTTTATATCAATGTCTTCCCACATTTATGGATTTTTTTCTCTTATCAATTACGGATATGACAGATTTGAGTTTTGTTATAAATTAAAAAATTACATTTTCAACCTCACTTTTGCCCTTCATGAATTATTTTATGGGTTCTTTATGTCAAAGGGCATTACACAAGAACTTAGTTGTGCATAAGATGTCTTTTCGCAATGGTTATTAAATTTTATACCCAATTGTTTTCCTCCTAAACCAATAATCCATACACAGTTTAATCTCTTTCCTCAGAAGCTTTAATACAGATTTGCACGAATTTAAGGTCAGCAGACATACAGAGATTTTCAGGAGTATACTTATTACAGTGCTTCTTTGTACAAAACATACGGATTACTGCACAAATCATAATAATAAATCTTATATTGGCAACATTTACTATGATGTCTTTATCAGCTATGCAAGTTTTGTGGGGCACTTAAGTAAAGAACTCTTAATTTTTCATTGTTTATGTATTTTGGTGTAATTCTTTCCCAAAATATGTATGTTTCAATCTAATTAAAACTGCAGTAGCTAAGGCATGTTTTTGTTTTTCAAAGGTAGAATAAGTATATGATTTCATTGAAGAATTAAACCTATTATAGTTAGTTTATGAATTTCTTGCATGTTCTTGCATGTGTTTTTCATAGACGAGTTTGTAATTTTTGAAAACATTTCCATTTAAAATTTATTTTTATTGTTCTTAACATAATCAACATTCTGAAAAATTATGTAATTAAAACATACCTGATTTATTAAATCGAATTCATACTTATATTTAAATATTAACAATAAGAATGCAAGTTATATGCTATCTACCTCCATGACTTTTAAAGCTTTTTATAGTTCATCAAGTATATACATCTTTTAAAAATTGTCCTACAATATCTAATACTTAAGATTTGGTATAAAACTTTTACAATGACACTTGGCACCATCATTAAGATAATATGCTAGATAAAAATCATCCTTGAATTATACTAAATACCAAAAATTATTATTGGTTTTTATATAAAACATGCACAAAGATTTAGTATTCAATATTTATATCATTATTACAAACACTTTGATACATTTAATACTTATATTCTACATTTCTCAATTTCATATCATATATATTCAGGAATGTCAAAATTATTTTTTGTGCTACCCCTACCTTAATAGGCATGAGAAATGTAACAGAAAAACCTGAAATTGTATTAACCCAACTATTTTTTTTACTAATGACAAAATTACAATACACAAGCTGAGGTACCCATCCTTTGTCCAAGTTATGAACTTATAATTTATTTATAACATAACATTATTACAGCAATCATTATTAACTCACCAAAAGTTTTGTATAACCATTAAGAACTCAATATTTATATACTTAAAAACATGGTATACAATGTGCAATGGTTAGGATCACTTTGTAGGAAAAGGTAGTGGCCAAAGTAGTGGTGGTAGGAGTGCTTTCTGTTACCCACTTTCAACACCCACATCTTAACGTTGTTCCACAGTGTTTCACATTATTGATTAATAAGACAGCCATTGGCGGCAAAAGAGTCTTACAGACCAAAGTTGAAAGGTCACGGGTCAAAATAGAGTTGGTATAGCTAAAAAAAATGGCTCTTCATATCAGCCATCATATCAGGTGGCTGTTGGATTAGAAACTTCAGCCAAGTTTTTGTTTTATTTCAATAGTGACAACCATTTTTTTTTCCATTGCATTCCTCCATAAAGAGTATTAGCACACTTTCCAAGAAATGTAAGACATTTTTTTGCCCTCCCCCCACACTGTCTGTTGTGTTATAGAAAGTTACAATTTTCTTTCCCGGGTTAAAGGATGTGGCACCAAATATGAATTTACTTTACTTTAACTTATGTCAAAAATTATTTATGTTCAACAAACTGTCATCCCACAAAATTTGGATGAGATTGGCTCAGCAATCTAGTAGTAGTAAGATAATGGACAAACAGACAGACACTCAGATTTTTGTGCTCTATATAGATATATATAGATTGCAAACATATAAAGATCAATATTCATTGCAAATTGCAATGACTTCTTCCACACTATTAAGTATTACAAAGCAAAAAATAATAAAATTTACTATAGCATGTGATACAGATGTAAAATCTCTGGGCAGGTTATGCAATCTACATATAAAGTGAAAAAAATTCAACCACATTGAATTCCAATATCAAGAATATCTCATCTTTTTTCTCTTAAACCTTGGAAAAATTCTGCACAGTTCTGAACCAGTGGTCCAAGTTACTTTACCCAGATGCATCTATTTCATCTTGTATTGATAAAACTTTGCATTAAATAACTATTCTAATATCATTAATAAAAGAAAGATCTGATAAAAAATATTTCAGTTTTATTGTGATGTTATACCACACAAACTAGTGATTTACAGATTACACTTTGCCAGCAGAGGTATTACATTCCAGGAAAATTTATATATTTATAAGTAGTGTTTCCTTCAAGACTTTGTATTGTAAACCCAGCCAACCTGATAGTCTCTGGTATTGAGTGTAAAGGCTTCATTGACAACAGTGTGGAAAGTGTGATGTTGGAATGCTAATATATTCTTCTTACTAAAAACCAGATAAGTGTTATGTACAAGAATATTATTTAAAATTTACTGACGCGACAAAAAAAAAATCTTAATAATTTAAAATTGATAATGTTATTTACAAATTGTACTCATGCTAGCATACAATTCTTATTTCTTGGTTAATATACTTTAAAAAAAAATAGTTACATTGTACAAATTTAAACTATTCTATTAAATCAGATTGTTACCTTTTCAAACTCTGCCCATTCTATCAATACAAGCCCAACAGCCATTCTCTGCAATGCTGACTTAGAGTTTAAGTGGAAAAGTAGAAGTTTTGCAAAGCACTCAATAGGAGACTCCATTTCTGTGGTATATACCATACCTGGCATAGGTTTGGTGATAAAGCAGGACAGTAATCCAAGGAACCTACAGTAAACAGTACTCTGTACATTAAAAAATAATGAAACATTTCAACATTACATACAAATCAAACAAGAAAAAATAGTATTAAAGGATCCAGCACAAAAAACATTATGAATGCATGAATCTCTGATGATTTTATAACTATATCTTGTTAAATTTTCAATACAAAATAAAGCTAAATGGAACAGTAGTTGCAAAGCTAGATGAAAAAATAATATACCTTTGTTGCACTGCATAGCAGGCCAAAATTATTTAATGGTGAAAGATAATAGATTGAAAGGTACAGCATGAAAATGATATCAATAGCAAATATTGGTGTAAGTAAAAAAAAAGAAAAAGATAATATAATATAAATAATTGACATTGCTATTATGTGCAACGGGATATGTATCATAAGCTTAGTACATGATTCATCTGATTAGATCTGTTGAAAATATGAGTTTACAGCCACACAAAAACTAAAATGTACTTGAACTTACCTTGCCGCGATGTGCCTGGCCCTCATAACACATTTATCACGTTCCAAGGAGCTGTCACTAAGAGATTCTACTCCACCTAGGTAATACTGCTCTGGCCCATCTTTTATATGAGCTTCTGAACTGCTTGACTTTCTTCCCTTACCATGACTTTTTTCCTAAAACAAGATTATTTTGAATATGCAAGTGACAAACATTTACCGAGAGCACAGTTGATACAAATACAACAAAGATAAGAGAAACATAATAAAGAGCACAGATAATAAAGGATAAGTAAAAGAGAACCAGAAAACCATCAATATTTTGATTATCTATATTGTTGTTATATTAAATATTTCAGCAGCAGAAAATGCTTGAGACAAAAAATTTACCACAAATAATGAGATAAAAAGGGAAAACACAGACATTTAGAATAATAGGTTAGGCAAATACATGTGAAATTTTTTCTAGTTCAAAGCATGCTGATATGAAGTACTGAATTATTGATGTATTTAATGACTTCTTGCCACAATTGTATAATAAACTAGCTTAGTTAGAGTAATGTTGGAGCAAACAGAAGATTAAAGTGCTCAGCTAACTTTACTTTTATAGATAGCCGAAAATCAAGGCCATACCCAACCACAGCAGCTGTTATAGAACTTTATTTAGTTAACATTGTAGTACTCTTGTTGCATGCTGACAGCACAGCACATGTTAATGTTTCCTTTCATACTTTTCTTACTGACATACGCAAGCAAATGAGTACTTTCTCAAAAATTGTCTGGCTTTCTTGCAGTATTTGACTTAGGGTTCTGTCCTAGGCAGATGTATTTTGCTGCCCTAGGTAAAATATTCAAATGTGTTATTCATTTTTTGTAGGCTAACTAAATGATATATCACTAAAAATAAAATGTACTATACTATATGTTGCAACATACACACTTATTATTATGTGCAAATCAAATAGTAAATTTCACTTTGAAATTAACATTAAAAATCAAATATTTAGGATTTTGAAAACAATTCTTAGACAAAAAAAGAAATTAAAAAGGATACAATTTTCATTTTAAAATTCATTTTTTTCAAATGTAAGTTTTTAATTTAAACTTCATTGCAATTTAACTTGAAGAATTGTACAATTATTGTCATCTGTTCTTTATGACCAATATCTGAAGTACAATCCAATAATATGTAACCAGTCTCATAATGCTTTGAACAATTTTATCAGGTAGTGCCTGTAGCAGATAATTCGAAATACTTTATCCAAGAATTCAGCCTCTTATCATTCTTACTTTCCTCAAATGTTCTTTCATTACAGCAACAAACATATCAAAAAACATCAATAAACGTAAGAAACATTCTTGCTTGTCTAAAAGGTCTAAAGCAGTGGTTCTTAACCTTATTTGCTCCATGCTCCACCTCAAAAAATTTGAAGCCCCCCTTAATATAAAAACAAATTTGGTGATGAAAAGGTATAATAATATAATTTAAAATTTAGAGATTTACCAAAATTTCACACCCAAATGAGAAATTTTTATTATTGTAGCATTTTCAAATTGCCCCACGTTCAGAATCACTGGTCTAAAGTTTCTCAGAAAAGAAGACACTGCTGCACTAGACACTATATAATGTAGTAGGTTTAAGTATGCCTAACACATCTTTCCAATACTTAGTTTCAGACTTAATTACAAGCTCATTTTATTTTTAACTGATTTCTTCCATAAATTTTCTTCTAGTTCTTTCAATCTTTTATAAGTTTCCCAATGATTAGCTCATGCTTTTCGTACCATTCATATCATTATCAGTCAAGAAAATCTTTATTGAGCAATCTGCAGCAGAAACAATACAATACATCTTTAACTGAATAATTATCTTCCATTTTTGTTAGGTAGAAGCTAAAGTTTTTAGTTGTAGTAAACTTCTTAGCAGAAATAATTGTTTCACATCATCTCCAATATCATTCGTGCAGGGTCTTTTGGATCAATAACATGACCATTATTCAGCCATTGGCAACAAGTTTTTCTACATTTTCACTATCTTATTTTGTATTGTTTAAAATTTAAATAACTTCTCATCTGGCAAAAACACTAACATTCCTGGTTTCTGACTGTTAACATTTGTTTAACTGTCTTTTTCTTACAATCACATTTTTTTATTACTTTGACATCTATCTTCATAACTTTTACAATGTTACAGAAAAGTAACAAGCTGTATGTCGGATGTTTATAGGAAGCTCATAGCAACAAAGGCTTAGCTAAGATCACGAACTACACAGGAAACAAGAACATGTGCCTGTCACAGACAATTTTTTAACTCTATTTCCACAGGCATCCTTTACTGCATATGTCACAAGGTTTTAGTGACTTACATTCAAAATTTAATTAAAGTGCTACTTGTCTATGTTATACCAATTAGTATAGCATAAAACTGTAGCTAATAATCCATATTTTAATAGTACACAAGTTCTTAATTTTATAAGGCAATGTTTAAAAAATTCCTGAATATTCCCTAGTTTGAGAAATGACATTTTTTCTCGGCATCCCCTTTTCTCTATTTTCAACCCCTTGCAATAAATACAAAATTTAATGTAATTACTCACTATAAAATCCATATTTTTACATTTTAGTTACTCATATAATAATAAATAAAAATAAATATGAAAAACAAGAAATAAAGTACTTGGATCTTATTTTTTGTAGTTGTCGACTAGCGACACTTAACCCTACTTTTTTTATACTAATGGTAGTAATACATTAAATAATTCATATTTAATTAAATAATGGATCAAAGAACATAGAATAATAACATGCAACAAGTAGACAATTTTCCCTTACTATCTCAATTTTTCTGGCTTTCTAACTATGTGACAAGAGCCACTACAAATTCATCCAAGCTAGTCATTATCTTTCACTAGGGAACAAAGCTTGTACTAACAGAGAAATTGACAATTCTCCATTCAGAAAAAAAGTGTAATATAGTACATCATTTGATAAATGAAAACCTTGGCTTTCTATTTGTTATACATAATACAAAATTAAAGTTAAGAAAATTCTGAAAGAGAGGATGACAGGTGAGTGTGGCAAGAGGGGTCTGATTTTCTATTTGATAGCTAAGATTGAAGGCTATAACAATTATGGTTTGTCTGAGCATTGATGATTTTACTGTGAGTAATTTACATTAAATTTCATACTTATTAGAGGGGTGGTGAATAAAGTAGAGAAGAGGGGAAGTCTAAAGAACATATGTCACATTTCTCACACTAAGAGAAATTCAGGATTTTTTTTAAATATTGCCTTATAAAATTAAGAACTTGAAACTTGTATACTATTAAAATGTGGATTATTAGCCACAATTTTATGCTATACTAATTGGTATGCCATAAACAAAAAGTAATTTAATAAAATTTTTAATGTAAGCCACTAAACCTTTGTAACATGCGCAGTAAATGATGTCTGGGCAGAGAGGGTTAAAAGAGTACAGAATTTTTTTTAATTTGTTAATATTAATAAAAAGTATCAAATACAGTGATTTTTATTGAGTGGTCAGATATAGCTTTATAAGAGAAACAAAAATTATGCACTATTCTGCATTGTAAGTAATTCCCTTGAACAATAGCACTACTTAACGAAATATTCTTCATACCATATTAAACTAATAACAAATATTACCTTAATTTTATGTTTTATCTCCAACCAAGTGGTTATCACAGCAGGATTGATAGCTAATTGAGCAGGTTGCATCATCATACACAACCAGCCACTCAGAAAAGGGCAGGCTGCAGTAAGAAGACTTCCTAGTGGTGCTCTTGTAACAACCTGCTTCCATGCCTGACAATAACAAAAAGCAAAATAAAAAAGTGAAATTTTTCTCCAAATATAATTATTTATGCCATAAGACAAATTCACTAAATGGATTTCAGCGTGAGGTGTAACATTTCTTATGCTTACTACTCTAGTTTGAAGTTCTATAAATACCATAATTCTTTAAATTTGCGATTTAAAAACTAGTTGCAATTTATTGGCAAATTATAAAATATTTTTCTATATGTTATTAAAGTCATATGTAATTGTAATGAATAATAATTCTAATCATAGGTTAAACAATAGGTAGTCTTGGTTTGTGTTTTAGAAATATTCCCAATATTTCCTAATAATAATAAAAATACAATTTACAAGACCACAAAATGTAAAAAAAAGGTTGCTCATAAATTATAAACTTAAGTTTACAAATACCAACACTGAAAGATAAATCTTTTAGTTGTAGTAGACCTCTTTACATCATCTCTGATATCATCTGGAAATTGTGCAGGATTTTGAAATTTACATATATCTTTCCCCCAATTTTTTTTCAACAGAAATAACTTTTTGAGTGAAATGGATGTGTGTGTGTAAATATTTTTTAATAAAAGTTAGCAATTATCATTTACATATGAATATACTCATACATTTACAAAGATTAAAATAAACAAACAACAATTTAATTACTACTGTTTCAGCAAGATATTAAAAACCATCTGGTTAGCAAAACTATAAGAGGTTTAGCACAGCACAAAATTAACAGAAAAAGTACTGTAAATTTATAATAATTAAATCCAGTAAATTAACAATACTTTATATATTTCATCCAAAAAGTTATTCCTACTGAAGAAAGAAAGAAGAAAAAAATTAAAGTACCATATAAAAAAATTAATAAAGTTAATCATAACTGACAATAAGTGTCTGATTTTTCTCCATTAAGGTTTAATAGAAACAACCCCTCCCCAAATAAAACATTTCAAAACACTTCAAATACATAAGTGTTTGAATATAAAATCCATCTTTTTCTGTACCTGATATGAGAGTTGCAATATTTCTTCAATGTTTTCCAGCAAACATCGTTGATACAAAAGTCTTAAGGCATCAGATAAAACTAGAGGAAGCCACTTTTCACATAACTGGGGTAAAAAAAGAGAGCATAAATTGAATATATAATTTGCATGTACAATTAAGCAGAGGATTGTTTCAGCCTATAATGCCTAAATCTCTATATGACAAGTTGGCAAACTAGTCACAATTATTTGCTCAAGTCTTTTACTGTACCACATGGTAATGTCTAAAACTGCATCACTTACAGTTTTTCCAACCATCGTTACCAAAACTGAGAACCTGCAATTCCATTACTTCATGAAGTTACTTAAAAGCCCTAAATTAACATTTTGGTTTACACCAAACAGAAAAACACAAGCTAAAAATAAAAAATTCGTTGCAAATCCATGCTTGGAAAGTGTTTATCTGCTCATCATGTTTGGCCATTACAGTAGAATTTGTTTAACTACATCATAAAATGACCAGCCATAAAAAAAAAGAAAATTGTATTTAGTATGATTGAATTATCCATTAGGCCTCACATAACTATCGGAAATTATTTCATGTTTAATTAAAGTTAAAAATAAGTTTATTAGACTCTCACAAAATGAAGTACTGGTAAGTGTTTTAGCACTGTGCACAAAATGATCAATGAATGCAACAAGATGAAATAAGTGTCCACATAGTTTGTTTGGGACATCATGCAATAAAATTAAATCATGTATTCTTAGATTGGTAGTTGTGTTATTCATATACCTACCACAAAAATTGTAATAGATAATATAAGCTTGTATCATTAACTATATTATCACCATCACAAGTTCCATACATATTTTGATTCCTAGTACTTCTATTTGGTATGATGAAATATTTTAGATGACACTTATTAAATAAAGCAAAATGAAATTATCTAAAAACTTGAAGTGTTAATCACAATTGAACAGAACTGAAAACCTTGTTAAAAATATAAACTTTAAACTTCAATTTGGTGTTCAGCTGTAGGTTATCATGTAGGATAACACATATTCATGTTTAAACATTATCGAAAACAATAATTGTTCTGAATAATTTTATTTGTTGTCAATGGTGCAGTCATGTGTAACAGTCAACACAGGGTATGATAATTCCAAGTAAAATGTTGAATCATTTTTTGGAAAGAATTTAATTTATTTTAGAGTTGAAAAAACAAAAAACTAACAACACACAGACAAATTAATGTTAATAATACACATCACAACACTATACATATAGTCCTGATTATCCCGTAAATGTAGAAGATTTTCTCTGAAACATTTAATAATCAATATTTCTAAATGTTTCTAAAAATGTTCTGGTCTAGATCAATCGCTGTATAAATAAAGGGTGACTTAATCTGATGGGCTATCTTTAATGGCAACTATTAGACTCTTTCATGCTAGGGCAGTCAGATTTATAAAATTCATTCTTTTATACTGTTTCTGTTTGGATTTGCATTTCTCTCTCTATTTTTATTAATACATTTTAGGCACTAACTGATAAAGAACTAAGGTTAGAAACATTGTTAATTACTTTTGAAATATTTATGTTTAAAACAGAATTAGGAAAACTGAAACATTCATGTTATTCATCTTACCAACAACTTCATGATTTTAGGCTTCTGCCAAGAATTTGGAGCTTATTTTATACTAAGAATATAATTCCAACAATACTCAAGTGATATATGTTCATTTGCAGACAGAGATACACAGTTCAAAGCCTGTTAGTGATCAGTTGTGCCAAATCAGCATATTTCCCATTTGACAAATTGCATTTTCTAGTTATAATTTTTACAAAACTAATATAATAAACACAATAAACCTCCTTTTAAAAACCAGATTTTTCATGGTTTCCAGTACTGAATTTGTTTTTAAAATGTTATTACTTTCCAGGATTTTCATGACCTGTGCAAACCCTATGATCATGATATGAAGCTAAACTTGGCTCTCAGTTCAATAACAAATTATCCATGTACATGAGGATTTAGTATTTCTGTGTAGTTTAACAAAATACATCATATTGAATGTTACTCACAAAAACAAAATTAATAATGTAACAACTGAAGTCATCAACACAAAAGATTATAAACAATTAATCATTACTAATGTTTCATCTATCTTTTGATTTAAAATAACATCTTTAGTTCTAAGCACTTCAAACTTTAAGTACAAAAACATAAAATTTTTCAGTACTTAAAAATGCAACAAAATTAACCTATTCTCTCACCTGTTGTTTACATTTTGTTGTTAAAGTTACCAACGTTTGAAGTGCTGATTTACGTACAACTGAAGAACTGTGTCCTAAAAATGGCCATAATCTAGGTACAAAATCAGCCAATGGCATCTCTAAACTGAAAAAGTAATAATCAGAAAATACTAAATTAAAACTAAAAATCTACGTATCTCCAAAGTATACAACTGCTCCAAATATGAATACATTTATAATAATAAAACAATTATCAAACTCTGTTATTAGTATAGAAATTTTCTGTACAAAAATACTCTACAAAACAATATAATATTAATCAACATTTTATATAAAATACATGTTGTCTAAGTATACAGAATGTGTAGTATATAGTACTGTTCATAAATCTAACCCAAATACAATAACTTAAAACAGACACAGTAGTGTAATATTTTATTATTTTTGGTTTGAGTTCATAAAAAAAATTTGCCTCCAAGAATATACTGTCTCTCTTAAATAGCTTAATCTGAAACAATAGAGCCCACACTTTTTCTTTCTTTGTAAAAATTACTTTTTGACAGCTCCTACTTTAGTTCTTTAGGTAAACATTTTGAATTCTAACCTCAAGTTTTTCACTGTCAGAAAAATGCATCAAATATCATTAACTTCAAAAACCAAAACAGAAGCAGTCAATACGAAATTCTGTTCCATTATTATCTTAAGATATCAATAACATTCATTCCTATTCAGAAAACATTTTTTAGAGTAAAACTGAACATATTAGTTAAATACTCTGATCATAATTTTGAAGAATGCTCATCAGAAGTTTCTTATGAAAGTACTGTGATTTCATTGTCTGTAGATTTTTATCATAATGATTGTTATCAATATCTTTCACTTTTTAGTAAGGATTAAGAATTTAAAAACCTGGAAATAGAACCTTAGGTTAATATAAATATTGATTAAAACAAAAAACCAAATACACATGGAAGTGTTGATGTGTTGTTAACAAAGCTTACTTCATCTTGTTCCAGAACACTTTCTATCATACTTCAACATCATAATTGAAATGATGTGTAAACTGATAAAACAAGTTTAGAAAAAACAATTAGGACTGTAGTTGTAGCAGAAGTTATCACAAACATTTTTTTTCTAGCAACATATCGCAAAGTTAAACTTCATCACTTTGTTCCTATCACTATGCAAATCTCCACTGAATTAGACACATTAGCTTTTATGATTGAAAAAACAGAAAATATCTTTCACTAAATCTTTAGACCTGTTGTCCTTAACGCCTTGAAGCTGATATATGAGCTATTAAATCACACACCATGACAATAAAGGTTGAGAAACTGATCGGCTAAAAAGCGATAAAAGTATACTAGTATTCAAATTCTAAGGACAAATTATTGCTATTAGGATTATTATGGATAGATGTTAAGTTCAGAAAAAAATTCATGAAATTCACAAACACTTATGATTTTGTTTTAGGTTGAAATCAACCAAAAATTAAAATTTGAATTTTTTACTCATAAAATTCAATAAATAGGTTTTTAATGAATAAATTTCAACTCTGCTAAGTATATATTTTTTAATGTGTGGAAAAACAACCACAAATTCATTTTCTATAATTATTATTAGTTCAATGGTGCAATTTTGCACAGGGTGGACTGCACATATCCAGACATGAGAGAATTAAAATAATAACACTAACCCATTTGAAATGAAAAATCAAAAAGGTGTGAGAAATAAAAAAATTGTATAAATATTACATCAAATTACTACTTCTGACCTTTATATACATTAAGAACAGAGAAATGTGTTACCAGTATACAGAAAGAAAAAAGAAATATATATCTTTGGGTCTGTTTATAAATATGTTGGACCCCATACATTAGTCAGAAATAACTATTTGAATGTATTTTAAACATGTCTGCTTCTGATGACGAAGAAAACACCACAATTTGTCAGTTTATGAAGCATTAACTAATTACCTGCTTTCTCTTGATGGATGGGAAAGAAGAGCAGATAACAGCATTAGAATACTGCTAGTTGATGCTGTTAAATCATCAAGTTCTAGTAACGAATCCCATAAAGATGCTATAACTTCTGGAACCTGAAATGATAAATACAAATCTTTCCAAGTCTACAAATGTATTAAAAACACAGCATCAGGACTGGATCAATGTTTTTTTTATGTTTACTTTTCTTTATAAAATACAGAATCAAAACAGCAACCATTATGTTAAATAATGAAAACAGAATAAAAATCAACATGAAATACATACACAACTCAACACAATACTGTTTTATTACCATTTAGTCTGAAAATAGTACTGGACAATTTTAGATTGCAATAAAATTATAGCCTTCTTCTGTTATTATTGTCTGTCAGCTTCTATTATAAAAATGTCACAAAGCATATTTTGTAAACAATGATGAATTTGTACTCAACATTGTTTTAATCAACCCATATGGAACAAATATGTGTCATAAAACATGTACATATGTACATACAAGGTGAACTAAAAGTTCCATGTGACAAACAAGCCAATACATACGCGAACCTACAAATAATATATATACGTTATTACTTGAATACATGATTCTGCACGTTTACAATAACTTCCGAGAGTAAGTGAAGAAGAGTGTATAGCAATGTGCTACCCACACTCTATCTACTATATCCAGCATCTACAAGGCCTTCTGCCCAAAACCAGAGTGCTTCAGGCAGGCTGGAATTGAAAGACATAGCAGTGATTGAGACATTATTTATATTAGCAAGTTTATTTCAAATATTGTAGGAATTGCTTACATTTTAAAATAGGAATACTATAAGAAATTTCATATTGATTAATAAAAATAGTCTAATTGTTTATTCTCATAATTCAAAGAAAGAATTAAATTCATACACAAACAATAGATTGAGGCTAATATTATGCTCAAAAGCATACATCTATGCCATTAAAACATATAATAAAAATAACAGTGATACAATTAGTTTGAGATTATTAGATAGTAGCTTTTATGGAACCAAAAATTTAACTATTTTCTCAGAGAATGCAAGTTTGTATTAAGTAGGGCTACAGTTTTTTCATTGAGTGTGTTGGGGTTAGATGGAGCTACTAAGTAGACGTCAGTGTCGTGAACTTTTGATGTGAGCTTTTGCTACAGCGTATGTCAAATATTATCTAAATTTGTAAAATTTGATAATTTTTAGCCCATACAAATTGTACTAACTGGAAATTGGATGAAGATTCAAGTGGCAAAACTTAATGATCTTGTTCTATGCTGTGGCACTCGAGTTTGTGCGAGTGGCAATGACAAAAGAAATACTATGTTATAGGTCATATCGGTTGTGATTTTCACATAGCTTGCTGATTTGCACATTCAAAATTGTTTATGTACCTTATTGGAAAGTTGGTGGTGGTGTTGGGGGGGGGGGGACAAAAAATCATCACCCTTTATTCTCCTGAAGAAGAACAGTCTCCGCTTGAGTTTTAGGTCTCTTTTTGTAAATTCATTGCACCTTTTGTGTCTGATCCTGATAGCTAACTTTTTATCAGAACTGGTAATTTGAGATAATTTATTTTAGGATGTACAATCAAATTTATCATTATCTGAAATATTACTGAGAATGCTGTATACTTGTAGTTAAAGGTGACTGTGTAACTGATAAAACACACATTTAAAGTTTCCAATTACTTCTTTCCTCATCTATTTTTGGTATAGACATATATTTTTCTTTAACAGATAAAAGTACATTTCATTTCAAAGAAAAAATTCACATAATTTCACAAATATTAAAAAAAACAGTAGTAAATGAATAATATAGTAGTTGATTAGACGTGCTCACATTTATCTGTAATTAAATGTATTAAGAAAAAATCTACATTCAAATTGAAAGTATAAAGTATTTATAATACTCATATTATTAATACTCTAAATGCTAGCAAGGTGTTCATAATGCTACGTACCACCTATATGCCATACTGATAAAAATTCATTTTGATAAAGCAAGCAATCAGGGAATTGGGTTAAGACATGTAACTGCAGAAAATTATTGTGTAAACTATATTGTCTCTTGTGAGGTGTTCTTGTTCAGTGCAAGGTTGTAAGAAATGCTGTTCATTTACTTAAGGTAAAATTTAAGGAGTTTGATAATAATGAAAGTGCTGTATTTTGGCTATCAAGAAGTTTGTGAAATTTCCTTTGATATAACCACAATTTTCCAGACGAAGAATAACATGGTTAAAGAAAGTTTCATTACCAGTCAGAACTTTGTAAACATTGAAAATAGCCTTTTATGAAATAATTATGACAATCTAAGATGTAACTATAGTGTCTGTTTCCACTATGTCTTATTCAACATTTTCACCAATTTGACAATCAACTCTAGAAGACAAAAATTTCAGTTAATCCTCAAACTACACACCTGTTTTTATACAGTTCACTACCAACCGAACAAGTCATTCACTTCTTATTCTTATGCAAAATACACAGGGGACCCAGCAGTACGTTAGCAAGATTAATTGCTTTTCTTATTATCTTATCACTTACATTTTTTTTTAACTCTACTTTTTTTTTGTTATCAGGGACCCACAAACAATGTGATGCATAGTTTAAAAATTTTGTTTTCAAACTAATGGTAATTGGTACTTATCTAACTTTGTAGGTATGCAAACTATTTTTTTATTGCACTGAAAATTCTTGTTATTATAAATGATGAAATTATTAAGCTAAGAAAAACATTCACTTACAAACAGTAAACGTTAGCCAATAAACAGATGCACTAACAAAGTGAGTTGTGATACCATGTTACATATGTGTACTCATTCTCTATGTAAGTTATAGTGGGTTAGCTTTACTTTGTTTCTTAGTATAAAGGCTACTAAAAATCAAGTATATAGGCTCATATTGGAGAAGTATAAACTAACAACTGATAAAATTCATGTTAGCAAGCTATAAACAACTTACAGATAACCAAATGATCAGACTACAGGTATCTAAAACCAGTATCAAACAAGCTACTTTATTAGACAGGACATTTACACCTCTATCCAATATCTATGTCTAACAAATGACTAGCTAACAGCGAATTAAACACAGCATGAAACATCCTACATTATTAGACAGAATATATAAACATACAACTATGTTTGACAAATCATTAGAGAACAAGTAAAATTTGGTTTCATCCACTAAGGTGGAAAGTCATATGAAGAGAATGTAGCTGAGGGGTAATATATAATAAAAAGTATGTTACACGTGCAGTGCTTCTGACATAATGTTCAAGTGAATGATTGCTATTTGAAGTTAATTTTCTACTTGGCACCCATCATTATAATGTGTAGAAGACAAATATAATAATATAAGAAATGCACATGCTTCTTAAATGCTTAAACAGTTACAGTTTATATTTTTTTAATGGTTTTCAAACAAGACCCTAAACCTGAGTGCTTTCAAAGAATAGTGAATTACTCAAAAGAGCTTGAGTTTTGGGTCTCATTTGAAAACCATTATAACTTTTGTATGTGATCCTGTGTGCTAACTTCTTAATCAGAAGTTACATCTCTGTGGTGGTGAACTTTATTTAATGTGTAACAGAAGGAAAACGTGAGTAGCAGTGTCTATAAAACAAAACTCTTAATTAGAAAAAAAAATTGAATATAGTGATGTTCCATGAATAAATAGTTTAATATCTCAAGTTTCATATCACTACATGTATCAACTATTAGATGTACATAAGATGTTTTATTTAAACCATGTGACAAAGCTATGACACCTTAATTTTATTAAGTATAATTTTTGAATATATATTCAAACTAGCTAGAAATATATAATACCTGTAAAAAGCATAAATGCAAATAGTCATCTTACATATAAACTTTATTTACCAAAGGAAATAAAATGTGTATAATTGTTATAGTGTAATGCCTTTTCCAAGGTGGCCAAGCACAATTATAATTAACTATACTAGTCATAAGGCATTACTATTAGGCCTATTATATCTTTAAACACAAAACCTTTGTCTAGTCCCTTATAGACTTACAAGAATTAGTACGGTATATAATAACAGTATTTAAACCACACTAACTTCACAATAACCACTACCAATTATGTGTTTCATTCAATCTAAAGCTTTTTGAGCCAACTAGGACTCATCAAACACAGAAGTGATCATTTGCTATACCAACAACAATAAGTCTGATGTACATTATTTTTCCAAGCTGGTGGAATATGACAATAATTAATTATACTTGTTGCAATCATAAGACTATTAGTATTAGGCCTATTACATTTTAACACTACATTCATTATCTAATCCCTTAGGGATTTTCAAAAATTAGAAGTGTATAATAAAAGTGGTTGAAATGCTATTATTACAAACTCTTCTAATTCTTGAAAATCCCTAGGGGATTAGATATAGAATGTAGTATTAAAATATAATAGGCCTAATACTAATAGTCTTATGAAAAATATAATTAATGTATGCTTTTTTTTAAACTACACAGTTATAGTTATCACTGACTTAGTGGGTTATGTGTGGAATGAGAGAGGCTTATCACCATTCCTTAGCAAGACTGCATACTAAAATCACAGATGTGGTACTTTGTCTCACTGAATTTTAAGATAAGAACTAAACTTAAATGCTAAAACTTAGCTAAAACTCATGGTTAAGAAACTTTGTGAATACGTATTTTTCTGAATGGTTATATTCATTATCATTTAACAAGTAACCATGTTTCAGAATACAACTTACCTGCTGTAAAGAGTATTGTAAAAAAAATAAAAATCATACTTTTCCTGGCAGTGCCTCTACAAGTTGATCTGTAACAGGAACAAAGACAGCAGCAGCAACAGCACTGACATCATCCACTGGATCTTGAAGTCCTTGGAATACAGGATGGAACACTACAGGTAACAGTCTCAAAGTCATATCCTAAAGACAATAAATGTGATGTTTGTTAATATTTTCACAGTTCTAATGTTGCAACTGAAATGCACACACACACTGACACTTCTACGTACGGTATATTACTGTAATTACTAAGCTATTTATTAGAGTTGAAAGTATTTTCCACAAGCAGGTTTTAAAATATTGCATAAGATTAATACAGTGTGTTGTTAGTTATTAAAAACCATTCTACTTCATACCAGTAAACAAAGAAAACTTTAAAGCTAATTTTTTAGGCAAATTATGCTACAACCTTTATTAGTTAATTGTCAAAAATTATTTGACTTTACACATCCTAAAAAGCAGCAAGCAATTTGCAATATCTTTCTTATTTTTTTTTGCTTTTATCAAGGAAATTAGATTTAGTGATCCATACACATGTGATAAGACACTATTGTAATTTTAAAAGAAAGCTGGAAACAATAACCTTTAAGAAGTATGCCAAAATCATAAACTAATGAACATGCTTTTAAGATGGGTAGGAGTCAGAAGGCATGCCATCATGTATTTAGATTTACATTCAACATTTTATTTAGCTATTATTTTATAAATGTATATCAATTAGTTTGGTATCAAATTATAGATAATAATTAAAATTTTAGTATTATACTTTAGTTAGTTTCTTAATTTTAAACTAAATATTAAAAAAAAAGGCTAAATATCAATTTTTTGTGTGTTATGTGGCCTTCTGGGATTGGTAAAATTACATTTTATGACACCCACAATATAGCATCTATAATTTTGTACGAATTAGAAACTCAAATGTTCGATATTAGCAAGCTAGAATAAAAAATAAGAGCCTCCTAACTTTTCTATTTGCTGAGATATCATGATATTTAGCAAACCTACCATATTGGCTATGCCAACCACTTCATCATTTGAGAAGACTTATTTATCTATGCCTACTTTTATATACCAATAACTTTATAATCAACTGAAAGCTATATATTTATTCTATATAATTCTATCAGTCTTCCTAAATTATTTAAATGAGAAATGCTCTTATATCATTGGAAAGTTTGAAGTATTGCTTTCAAGGCTATTTTGTTAATAGAAATTATATTTTTTTAGATCCAAATACAATTTGGTTAGGAAGCCAATAAATTACAGTGGGTTTTTGGGGTATCAGTATAGTAATTTATAACTTTTTGTATTCCAAAATGCTCATATAAAGTCTACAAAATTTATTATTTTCCATCTCTACATGTGAATTTGGACGAGGCTTAGCAAGTATGCCTCATGAGTGCAAACAAGGACTTTGTAGTATCATAAGTAGTACAGATCATTGTTTTCCAAGTATTTTTTATTTACTGTTTTATGTTTGAAGAAAAATATCTGACAGTTAAATATTTATTTGAAAACATTATATATATGTGTGTGTGTGTGTGTAATGTATAGTAGTCAATATGTTACTATATTTTACAGAGTAGAAACTTGTGCTATTTTTCTATTCATTTACATTGAGGTAGAATAAAGACAAATTATACAAAACTAAAGACTTTGCAAATCAGGAAAAGTTTATTTATGTAATTTGTGAAAGTCTAAGAAATAAATTTATCAACTGATCTTAATGCATGAAAAAGAACATCTGTACATAAACACCCAGTTGAACTTGCAGTTTGCTGGTAAATAAGTTGTTTCTCAAGTTACGATTAAGAAGGCTAAACCAAGGATACCAGCCCAACCAAAACAAGCCATATTTATATTACTGAAAACACTACATTGTACTGTGTGAGTACGGTAATATAGGAAACAGGATGTCCGTAAGCATTTACACCTATACCAATGCTAAATCCTGACCACCAAGTAACATAACTAGCAAGTTTATTGGATAGGATACAACTTTATACTTTGTACAGAGCCATATCATAAATATTTTCTCTCACTTTTATAAAGTACTTTAGACAATTTCTTGTTGCAATCACTGTACTGTAAAGAAGCCACCAAATTCTATCCCACTGTGTTCTCAGAGCAGTGATCCGAATAGTTTCTGTAGGATACTTCCACTTTTTGACTTACTGGATCGGCCCAGACTTTCTACAAATTCATAAACATTCTATAGTACTTTATACAATTGTCGATGTAACCATTAAACTGTCAACGAGTTGATATATCCTATCCCACTGTGTTGTCAAAGCAGGGAAAATTCTGGGAATTACACCACATGAACTTATTTGATTCTGACGGTGTCAAAGTACAGTAACATCTAAAAAGAAATGGTGATTCATTGCTTTATATTCAACAGGTTTCTACTTCAGCCGCTAACAGTAGAATAACAATAGGTGTTAATAGATTAGAAAAAACTCTTAGGAGATTTACTTGGAACTTTACTATCTGTACTGAAAAGAACAGAGTACTATTCATTTTGTTTATTCTAATTTCTAACTTATCTACTAGCAATAAAATAACTACAGAAAATAAGTGTGAAAAGGTGAGAGCGTAAACTCTGTCCATAAGTACTTGGAAATTTTGTAATCACTACTAACAGTACTATAAATTTTATTTTGCAATCTTTATTTTCTTATAGTTTGATTACTTACCTACAACCTGGAAAAATAAGTATAATGTTGTAGTACAAAAAATAACAAATAAAATATAAATGTTTGATATTCAATTACGATTTTTTATTTTTCATTTATTTCAACTGTTTATTATTATAAAAGTAATTAAAATCATAAAAATATAAAGTTGTTAGGTAAGATAATGAAAGAAAAACAATAAAAAAACCTTCATGGGGTATACGCGGCGTAAGCTTCTGCATTATGCTGTTCGATAGGGTCATGCTGATGGATGGAATAAATAAACTACTCAGTAAATGAATAAAACAACATGCATATGAAGATAGTAACTGCTAGTATTAAGAAACCTGCAAGAGATACTCATTTACAACTTAGTATACAGAGTAAGACTAAATGTAAGCTTATAATATAACAAGTTTCTACAACTCAAGTAGAAACTTATTTTAGTTTATTAAATATCTAATCCTCCTGTCATACAAAGCATGAGAAAAAAGAAATCATATGCACAGCAACATGTAATGATAGGCTTTACTATTTAAGAGTTGGTTGTTTAAGATTTTGGGAACTAGAAGATTGGCAAAATTACTAAACAAAAAAGCTGAATTTGTGAGCTAATGTTCAAAATGGTTACTAATGGAGTTTCCATGTACAACAGCTTTGCATAACCTCTTAAATAAACAGATAAAATCTTCACACTGAGGTTTATCAGAGAAGTATAATTATACATTGTAATTAAGCAAATATGCCTAATTCATTAAAATAAAAACACCTACAAACATAACTCATTATGTTTTCATTTATATACATGCATTTTATCAATGACACTTGTTTTAATTTAAAGAGTGCTTTCATCACAATTATTTTGATTACACAAAAGTAGAATAAACACTAAATGATAATGGATGCCAGCTTAATGGATCTAGAATTGTAATTGATGCCCAAGAAGTAATTTTTAACATTGAGGAAAAAAATCAAATGTTTTCGTTGAAACATGAATTTTTTTAAATGAAAATCATATATTATAATTATTTAACTTACGAGTCGAATAGCTAACAAGTATTTGAGAACCAGCAATCCTCCATGCCGGGCTTCCCACTCCTCATGCCCCATCAACTGAAGAACAATATGTAGTATCCCTTCCACTCTAGATTGCCACATTAAATTTAGAACTGAACCTAAAGCCTGGGCACAGGTTTCTCGTACAGGAGCCACAACCTATAACACAGAATGAGAAATTTACTTTATTGTTAGCCATTATTGGAGATTCCTTGTAAACCATTCCCAGTCGTAAAATAAAGCCTTTCATAGATATGTGAGCTACATTTCTGAAATATTTCTGTGTGAAGGAACTATCATTTTTCCCTTTATTACATGATTTTAAGACACAATATGACTAGAGCTGGGTGATTAACTTGATCATCTGTGAGCATAAATTACAAAATTAAATATCAAGTAAAATAACAACTTATTTGAAATTACAATTAAATCGATTAATGTCACAAAAATAATCATCTAATCAAAATTAGTGTTTCCAATTATTACTTTTTTGATAGCTAGCTGATATGGTTCATGATAATTTATTGTAGCTATTGAATTTTTGATCTCATTAATTTGAGATGTAAAATGTTAAGCTGCAGCTGAGGATTGTCAAAGAGAGTTGTTTGAGAGTATAGTGAGCATTTATAGTTTCCGTGTAACTAAATTCTCAATACATATAATGCATAGCAAAGGGCGAATATATGCCTAGACTAAGACACAACCCCCACTAAATAATATATAATTTTACCAGCAGAAAAGCATCCTTTCCAAATAAAACATATACTTCTAATACATTGCTTTAAATAAACCTTTGTATCTTTTAAAGTAATTATTCTACGAATGTGTGTAACAAAATTTAATATGTGTATTGATTTATTTTTTTACTCCTTCACTTAATACATAATATAGGAGTTGGCTCCCTAAAGACACCGACTGTACGGTGTACAAAGCATTGAGTATTTATATGTAACAGTCATCTAATGTTCATCTATTACTGTCTGGTAATTTTGTTTCACTCTGTACTTAAGCTTTTTAAAGAGTTGTTTGTTTGTTTGTTTTGAATTTTGCGCACTGCTACACAAGGGCTATCTGTGCTAGCCGTCCCAAATTTAGCAGTGTAATATTAGAGGAAAGGCAGCTAGTCATCACTACCTACCGCCAACTGTTGGGCTACTCTTTTACGAACGAATAGTGGGATTGACCATCACATTATAATGTCCCAACAGCTGAAAGGCCTAGCATGTTTGGTGTGATGGAGATTCGAACCCGTGGCCCTCAGATTGCGAAGTCAAGCGACCTATTTTTGTAAGAAAGCTAACTTCAAGAGGTAATGATAACATCGCTTCCACTAGAAGTTTGTTTTTTAACCTTTATAAAAGAAACAAATCGACTTTTCAATACTCCTACAACCTTCGCAGTACCTTATTTAGTATTCTACAAAAGGTTTGGGTGCAATATACCAAGACATTTTTGTTGTAAGCTGGCAAGAGAATAAGAAAAAGAAAAATTATTTTCTTTTCCTTGTAAGTCTAACATGAATTTTTTGTGCATTTTTATATGTGTACACAATCAATAATAAAGGTTTTAAAATGTTGTTTGAATTGAAGCTGTTTAAGATGCTTTTTGTCGGTACGTTCTATTAGGGTTTTGTGCAATTCTTTTCAATCCCTATTATGAATCTCTATCGTGGTTCATTATTATGTGATTTAACAGATATAACTGATGATGAATGTTTGTGATCCTAGTAGGTACTTTCACACTTTGCAGAACTCCATGTCAATATTAAATGGAAGCAAACATAACTTTTATTTGTTGAACATGGAAACGTTTTTTAGAAGAAAGAACACATTAGCTAGATAGAACAGAGATTAGATCTGAATTTGAGAAAAAGTCAATGATGTATATCGTATTATTTCCGGATGATTAGGAAACTTTTAAAACTGTCCTTACCTTGCAAGGTAAGATTACTTTCCATAACATGACTTTTAAGATAAACTAAACTGGCAAAAATTCTGGATTTCTCTAAATGCTTGTGATTTTGCTCATAACTGAGTAAATTTACCAGAGCAGAAATGACCATAAACTCTCATCTTTCTGTTTATACTGCTAGACTCACAATGATTAACAAGCTATACACCTTTAAGTTTGTTCTATAGAATAATGGAGAGAGAGGAGCAAGATCATGCACTGATACAAAATATTAATATATAAAAAAACATAAAAATTCCAAATGACACTAATGAAGGTATGCAGCCCAAAGTTATAGTGAAATTTACTTGAATGTTGGCAGATACAGAACAAAAAAGTAAGCAAATGTAAAATGAATTAATAAAATTATTTAATAAATAACATTTTTTATTGTGCATTTATTACCTGCTCATATCTTTAGAAAAACATCTGTCTATCTTGTAAGCATTATCAGGATTGTATGCAAAATGTTTTTATATTTTTCCTTCTAGTTAACTTCATATTTTTTAATCTTGTCTTTTAATATATTTTATATTTGTTTATTGCTATGTCAGACATATATATATCAGTTGCTTACTTGGTCAGAAATGAAGTCTCCAAACTTATCTAAGGCTAGGACACACAACAATCTCAGTGCCAAATCTTCAAGCCACAGCTGATTTACTAACTCCATCTAAAAGATAAAACAGCCAAATAACTCATTCAAGAATGATAAAAATGTATCAAATGCTCTTTAGAGTAAAGTAATATGAAATTTTAACACAGCTTTTGAAGGTATTCGAGCACCTTAAGATAAACTAAGTATTATAGCATTTTATAATTACCTTTTATCATCTGACTATTGGGGCAATTAAAACAAAGAATTAGACCTTATGTAAATAGCAAAGTTTGATTTCTTGCACAGACAAATAAAATAACTGTCTGGAATAGTTTTTAGCAATAACAAAAGATGTGTTGTAAATCAATATAGAAAAAGAAGCATAGTGACTATCTTTAAATGTTCCTTATCAACAATTAAGCAATACTCAATATTGATGAAACAAATGAAGTAGAGCTCAAACTGTTAATTAACATTTTAAATGTGTCAATTTAAAAATGTGCCTTGAAGATAAATTATTATGTTTTCTATATTTGTAGAAACTACACAAGTTTTATGACTGTTTAACTATGCTTTGTCTAGTAGTATATTTATTAGTACCAGGTGCAAGGACTAAAATTATTTTTTGTTTTTGAAAAAAAAAAAACATTTTAAAGAAATAATTACTGATACCACTTTGATTTGTAATAATTAGTATTATATTGAAACTATATGTTTGGCCTACACACCTATGAACTACACACATTTTAACACAGACTTATCAACTTTTGTGAAGCCAAAATGACTATTGTTAAGTCTCAGGTTACAAAATGTGAAATAAATCAGTTTTTGCTAAGAAATTAGGTTAAATAACAAGAAAGAAACTTTATTAATTTGCTTTTATTCTTGTCAAAAGCTGAATGACCAAGACTTTCTAAAACTGGTTTTGTGTAACTAGTGAAATTGAAAGCTGTGTAAAAGTATTTCTGCTCAAAACACATACACAAATAGATTTATAACTAAAAAATAATTACCAACTTAAAACATATTTTGAATATTTAACTGATATTAAAATCAAATCTAGAAATACTTTTCTTTTAAAACATTTTTGAAATAAAAAAAGATAAACACTGAACAAATTTTTTCTAACAAAAATATTTCATATTGATAGCTTAGTTTATGGATATAGGACTAACCTAATAAATCTATTAAGTTGGTAAAGCCAAGTCTAACTAAGCATTAGTTTGTAGTTTTACATCAACCTAAACAAATGAAACTTTTACCACAATACAGACACACTGTGTTAGTAGAATACTTGGTACATCTACTCTCATTTTCTATTATTTCTAATTTATTATGTATTATAATGATTATTCTACATTATCTTAGTATATCGATTTCAAACTACCCTAAATCTCCTAAGCTTCCCAAATCTCACAAGACATTGGATTTATGTCGGAAGATATCATTAACACCGAGAGCACCCAACTAATTAAAAAATGTTGTACTCATTATAAGTAGTATAATTCGAACATTACATTTCATTAACTGTGATCCTGACTATGTAAATATATTTTAGTTTTAATGGGTAACTTCCTTTGATCAGAAGTTAATATTCATTTTTTTATAAGACAAAAGAGGAGAAGAATCAGCAAAAATTAGTGCCTTTTATCCCAGCGGATAACTAATTTGTTAATTGACACTTACACTACAAGCTTTCACAGCTTGTGTGTTTACTTGCATGTTTCATGTTTTCTAGGTTTCTGAAGTGCACTGAGAGAAAGACATTTTCATTTATTTAAATTTAGTTTTAAAGTTGAAAATTACACATGATTCTTCAAAAATTTTATAATCAGTAAAACTGACTACATTACACTAATAACCTAATGGTAACTTCAATTTCTCAAAAAATTAATTATTCAAAGATGTTAAACAAAATTTACAAATACCTGGTTTGAGGGTGTATCAACAGTTTTGCCAGCTCCTTTGCCATGAATTTTTACTATCTCTCTCAATGCTATGGCAGCACCATGTCGTTCTTCCCATGAAGGACTAAACAAATCCTGCATGACCTCATCACAAAATGATTCTAATGGCCATTCCCTAGACTATAAAAATTTAAAATATTATTGTAATAAAATAAGATAAAAAGTAGTAAAACACATAACACAAAATTAAAAGCACTAATAAATAAAATTAACTGTTTCTATTTGCCACATTACACAAACATGGGTTTAACAATTTGTGAACCATTTTGATATCTGCATATTTATGAAAAATGTAAACCAGCATTAAAAAAAAATGATTATTTCTTAATTTTCAAGTGTACAAATTTTACTTGTTAGTGGATGAGAATAGGCAAAGGAAAGAGTCTGGAATATTTTGAGGCCAATAGTCAGCATGCTAAAGGGGTATTCAGGGGTATGCTCTCCCAAGAAAACTTTGAAAATTAGAAGCTTTCAGTGCCTTCTCCAGTCTTTTATTTATTTTTTCATATATTTGAGAGATATGATGCCCCTAAGTTTTACAGTATATTAGCCAAATGTGGTTAGTCATTTAATAGTTCTTTGTGGTTTTTAGTTGTTCCATGTGAAAAATAGTATAGCAACCCCCATAAAGCATAATGTAGAAGTTCGTTGCATATTTTGCATAGAGCTTTTCCTGGGAAATCAACCTTTATTGTTATTAATTTTCCTAGTTTTGACTTCACTGCTTGTGGTTTACTCCCAAAAAGAAATGATATTTATAGTTCCTTCTCCAATCAGTTCCTTATAATTTGTATTTAATCAAACCACTGACTCTTGCTCCATCACGCTGGTCAATAACATTTGCCACTTTTTAAATTCATTCTGTCTTTAAATTAAACTTGCAACTTTTCATTGAAGTTTTCACATGCAAACTCCTCATCACAAACACACCATTTTTTTAAGAATAGGATGTATTAACTAGTATTTAACTGGTCAAAAAATTGCATTAGTTATTTTCAAGTTATGAAGCATAGAGAATATGTTGTTGTTGTTCAGGACTAAAATATGGTGCCACCTTTACTCTTAGTTGCATAAAAAACCTCAGGTAAGCCTAGGAAGCATCTAAAAGTCATTAAGTACATATACAAAATATGTTTACTTATAGTGAGGATTTATACTGTTGGAAAAAATTCTGAATTGCTTACATTTTTTTACTACTTTTTATAAATTGTTTTTAGATCAATTAAATAATTAATTGATATCAGCAACACACATGCAGTACTAAACCTTCATAATTTCAGAAAAACACGTAGGTTCAAGATACAAGATGACAAAAACCTTATAACCCGAGCACTTTCGAAAGATGGACCTTTCTTCTTCAGGAGCAAACTGAAGAAGAAAGGTCCACCTTTCGAAAGCTCTTGGGTTATAGGGTT